TTAAGGTAACTACCATATACCTATTGTTTTTAATCTGATTTGGTTATGTGTAACGAAATATTTTTTTGTCTGGTTCATTATTTTGTAATGATAATTTTAAAAGCAATGATAATAAAAGAAACAAGAAACAGTGCTTTGGCCCTGAATGTCCATGTGGTCAGTAAGTTTAAGGCAAGTTTATAAGGCTTTTAGAAAGGGACCGACTCAGTTTGCACCAGAAAACCAGCAAACTGACCGAGCACATTTAATGTAGTTCAATTGTGAAGAAAATGGCAGTTTTGTTAGCTATCTACACCGATACAAAACAAATTAATAAATAACATCTCTCATAACCGTTTCACTAAAGCGAAATAAGTGAAGTTTCAATGGATGGTTGAAGTATTTCAATGAGAACATGTTACAAATGAATTTTGTGAAATGCTGAGTTCAAACATTTCTCTCACATACCAAAAATAAGTCATTCAGTTCTGAGGTATGTAAAATTTGCTATTTGAAAATGATGGTGGGAATCTTTCTATATATAATATATATATAAACAGTATATACAATTGTCTTGTGTAAGTTATTCCAATGGATGAAGAAATCATGTAATTTTTACAGAAAGTCCTCCATGAATTACTACAGTTAGATACACAACAAAATTTATCTTTGGTAAATTGAGATACAGAAGCATTTAAATGATGTAGAATGATGGTATGAGGTGGAATGTTTTGAACCCAATCCGAGTAAAGAGAAGCCAGAGCCAGTATCGCTCACCTGTATTCATTTATTATCTAAGCTTGACAAGATATTGTGAAAATGTTTCTGCTATCTTGAGGCCATGGTGGCCATCTCAAACTCTATTGATTTAAACAATCAAAATAGGAGTACTTTTGGTAGAATTAGCCTTGTGGAAGGAGGTCATTTTTCGACCAATCAGATGTCAAGAAATCCATCTTGGAGTTTGATTATGAAGGTAAAGGTCAAGTTGACAACAGACGGACACCGTGCAATAGCATAAGCTCACTTGGCCACTGGACACGTGAGCTAATCAAGGGGCAATGATTTTGACTAAACAAATTGATTATAAGAAAGGAATGTTTTCAACTTAATCTGTGTGTCATAAAAAGTGAAATGTTTTGGACATAACGACTTGGAAGTTAATGAACTAAGGTGGGATATTTTGGACTAAATCTGTGGAATGTTTTTGAACTCACCACAAAGGAATGTTCTTCAATGGAAACAGTTATAGGGTTGGAATTGTGAAAACGTAAATAATAACGACGTTTCATATTGAAATGTAGATGGTACTTCAAATTGGACACATATAAGACTTTAAAACAATTACACCAGTCATTCACAGGTAACATATCAAGCTCTGCCTGATCAGGGGGCACCTGTTTTAAAGGGAGACAATATCAATCAATAATAAGTACGGTTAATAACAATATTTCTATCCTATACAGAGACCGCTTACTCATTCAATGCAAACAACAAAATTCTGATATGCTTACAGGAGACAGGATCTGTAATACAAATAATATTAAACTGTCAAACAGCAAACTAAGGCGAGAATAAACAGCAAAAGGGCTGAGGGCTCCAAACAACATAATACATATAACTAACTTTTAACAAGATAAATTAACAAAAACAACAATATGCAATGCCAACGCTTACCTCAAAGTCCATGGCAATGACAAGGCAAGCCTAAAGGATAATGTCAAGGTCAATGACGAGGCTAATCCCAACGTTAAAGTCAAGGATAACTGCAAAGTCCATGTCAAGGTCAACCTCAGTAGTAGAATAACTTTAAGTTCCATGTCAATATCAAAGTCATTTTAAATTACAAAACTCTGATATTACAGGAAATGTCATGTTAGGAGGTTGATTGCGGAACTAATCCGCAAGGTGAACATTATTATGTTCTTGTTAATGCTTTCTAAACCCTGAACAGTTTCATTAGGTGAAACAATAACCATGGACTTGGAACAAGTGGATAAGTTGGGTAAAACCGTGACAAGCTTAAAGAATATTTACCATCTAAAAATATTTAAGGGGCAACAAGTTTAACGCATGTTTGTGTATATGTTAAAATTCACTACATAAATAGTCGCTTTTACTTCCATTGATATGTGTGGAATGATAAATAGTAATAAGAACAACAGTCCACGATACAACATCTAATAAATAACACAAAAAACATAATAAATACACTTCATAGAACAATCGTCATGTCCAAGAAAATAAAAATAAATTAAAAACATGACCAAGTTGTACTCCTCTTTAAACAATTTACAAAAGTAAATTAATAAATACATTTTTATTCACCAAAAAAAAAAGACTTTCTCATTTCTCATTTCATTTCTAACAGTGGCACAGATAGGAGAATAAGAACGTTTGCTTTTGGCGTTGTTCATATTTCAACAAATAACTTCAGACACTTTTCAACAGTTATAATAGTGAAAAGAAGTATTTTAAGCAACCCTTAGTCCCCCATATTCGGGCAAAGTTTGATACGGAAAAAAAGAACAATGTTCCATATATTTGTATAGAACAGCAGCAGAAACTATTTCAATATGAAAAACTCTGTTATCCCAAAGGTCAAAATTGGCCAATTGTAGGTGATCACAGTATATTACATTTGCTGCGAAAAATATGATATACTGATAAAAAGCGAACTTATAGTCCATTCTGGTACTACCGTTGGGGGACTGATAATGACATTTACTATTTGGTATGGAAGTGAGAACTCTAGCCGTAAGGTTAAGGTATAGATACAGAAAGTCTTACTGTTAGTGTAGAGAGAGGTATGGAAGTGGGAATTCTAGCTGTAAGGTTAAGGTATAGATACAGAAAGTCTTAGTGTTAGTGTCGAGAGAGGTATGGAAGTGAGAACTCTAGCCGTAAGGTAATGGTATAGATACAGAAAGTCTTACTGTTAGTGTAGAGAGCGGTATGGAAGTGGGAATTCTAGCTGTAAGGTTAAGGTATAGATACAGAAAGTCTGACTGTTAGTGTAGAGAGAGGTATGGAAGTAAGAGCTCTAGCCGTAAGGTTAAGGTATAGATACAGAAAGTATTAGTGTTAGTGTAGAGAGAGGTATGGAAGTGAGACCTCTAGCCGTAAGGTTAAGGTATAGATACAGAAAGAAAGAGAGGAAAGAAAGAACTATTGTTAATAATATAATGTTTTGAAAACAATTGGTCAATGTTTGTATAGATACAGAAAGTCTTAGTGTTAGTGGAGAGAGAGGTATGGAAGTGGGAACTCTAGCCGTAAGGGTAAGGTATAGATACAGAAAGTCTTACTGTTGGGGGGGAGAGAGGTATGGAAGTGGGAACTCTAGCCGGAAGGTTAAGGTATAGATACAGAAAGTCTTAGTGTTAGTGTCGAGAGAGGTATGGAAGTGAGAACTCTAGCCGTAAGGTTAAGGTATAGATAAAGAAAGTCTTACTGTTAGTGTAGAGATAGGTATGGAAGTGGGAACGCTAGCCGTAAGGTTAAGGTATAGATACAGAAAGTATTAGTGTTAGTGTAGAGAGAGGTATGGAAGAGAGAACTCTAGCCGTAAGGTTAAGGTATAGATGCAGAAAGTCTTAGTGTTAGTGTAGAGAGAGGTATGGAAGTGCGAACTCTAGCCGTAAGGTTAAGGTATAGATGCAGAAAGTCTTAGTGTTAGTGTAGAGAGAGGTATGGAGGTGAGAACTCTAGCCGTAAGGTAATGGTATAGATACAGAAAGTCTTACCGTTAGTGTAGAGAGAGGTATGGAAGTGGGAATTCTAGCTGTAAGGTTAAGGTATATATACAGAAAGTCTTAGTGTTAGTGTAGAGAGAGGTATGGAGGTGAGAACTCTAGCCGTAAGGTAATGGTATAGATACAGAAAGTCTAAGTGTTAGTGTAGAGAGAGGTATGGAAGTGAGAACTCTAGCCGTAAGGTAATGGTATAGATACAGAAAGTCTAAGTGTTAGTGTAGAGAGAGGTATGGAAGTGCGAACTCTAGCCGTAAGGTTAAGGTATAGATAAAGAAAGTCTTACTGTTAGTGTAGAGATAGGTATGGAAGTGGGACCCCTAGCCGTAAGGTTAAGGTATAGATACAGAAAGTCTTACTGTTGGGGGGGAGAGAGGTATGGAAGTGGGAACTCTAGCCGGAAGGTTAAGGTATAGATACAGAAAGTCTTACTGTTAGTGTAGAGATAGGTATGGAAGTGGGAACGCTAGCCGTAAGGTTAAGGTATAGATACAGAAAGAAAGAGAGGAAAGAAAGAACTATTGTTAATAATATAATGTTTTGAAAACAATTGGTCAATGTTTATATCCCCCTTGACAACAATGAACTGTGTTATCTCCTCTGGTTACCACTTGGCCAGGTACTTGAATTATATGTCCCCTTACTTAGGCAAGGATAGATACAGAAAGTCTTAGTGTTAGTGTAGAGAGAGGTATGGAGGTGAGAACTCTAGCCGTAAGGTAATGGTATAGATACAGAAAGTCTTACTGTTAGTGTAGAGATAGGCATGGAAGTGGGAACTCTAGCTGTAAGGTAACGGTATAGATACAGAAAGTCTTAGTGTTAGTGAAGAGAGAGGTATGGAAGTGAGAACTCTAGCCGTAAGGTAATGGTATAGATACAGAAAGTCTTACTGTTAGTGTAGAGATAGGAATGGAAGTGGGAACTCTAGCCGTAAGGTTAAAGTATAGATACTGAAAGTCTTACTGTTAGTGTAGAGAGAGGGATGGAAGGGAGAACTCTAGCCGTAAGGTTAAGGTATAGATGCAGAAAGTCTTAGTGTTAGTGTAGAGAGAGGTATGGAGGTGAGAACTCTAGCCGTAAGGTAATGGTATAGATACAGAAAGTCTAAGTGTTAGTGTAGAGAGAGGTATGGAAGTGGGAACTCTAGCCGTAAGGTTAAAGTATAGATACTGAAAGTCTTACTGTTAGTGTAGAGAGAGGGATGGAAGGGAGAACTCTAGCCGTAAGGTTAAGGTATAGATGCAGAAAGTCTTAGTGTTAGTGTAGAGAGAGGTATGGAAGATAGAACTCTAGCCGTAAGGTTAAGGGATAGATACAGAAAGTCTTACTGTTAGTGTAGAGAGAGGTATGGAAGTGAGAACTCTAGCCGTAAGGTAATGGTATAGATACAGAAAGTCTTACTGTTAGTGTAGAGAGAGGTATGGAGGTGAGAACTCTAGCCGTAAGGTAATGGTATAGATACAGAAAGTCTTACTGTTAGTGTAGAGAGAGGTATGGAAGTGGGAACTCTAGCCGTAAGGTTAAGGTATAGATACAGAAAGAAAGAGAGGAAAGAAAGAACTATTGTTAATAATATAATGTTTTGAAAACAATTGGTCAATGTTTATATCCCCCTTGACAACAATGAACTGTGTTATCTCCCCTGGTTACCACTTGGCCAGGTACTTGAATTATATGTCCCCTTACTTAGGCAAGGTATACATAATAAGTAGTAAGAGGAACAGTATCACAAATCAACTCATCACGTCAACTGTGATGAAGCACCACTTTAAATGATGTTCACAGATTCGACTAATAGTAGACAAATCTGGCATTCTGTTAAATCTGATGCTTTCTCGTTTCTTCTGGCATTCATGATTTAGTGGATATGGATGAAACGAAGGATGGTAAAACAGTGGCATTATTTGACAAATGAGGTATTGATAGGAATATGTCATGAATGATAAATTGCCGATGATATCTATAGGATGAACATAGTTACGGTAATGGTACTTAATACCGTTAACAGCATGCAATCTATTACCTAGAACTTACTAAGACAGCTAATTCACACACAAGCCACTTCAGATGATTTTTTCTGGATTGGTCACACAGTTTGTCCATAAAGACTTGCTCTGTACCATTGTACACATTCTTTGTTAAAAGTCCTAAATTTCTACAATGCCAACACCACCGGGCTTACTATATTTCTGAGACAACAACATATCCCTAACTCTGAGACTGTTCCCGACACAGCCATATAACCCTGGATTACAGCGGGTATTATGAGGACAAAGAACCATGACTTTGTGACTCTGTTACTCAGATAAATACAGGGCACTGACTTCAAGAAGTTTGATCAAGTTATATATAAGACCATTATAATATTGCTGAGCCTATAATAAGGCATAAGTTCTTAAACCTATTTTTTATATACCACAGGACTAAAACTGCATGTGTTTCAGATATACAGGACTAAGCTAACTGTATTTCTGAGACGGCAACGTTGACAGCGCTGTATGATACAGGACTAGGCCACCTGTATTTCTGAGACGGCGATGTTGACAGTGCTGTAGAAGACACTACTATCCCCTGAGCGGTTGGCGTATATGCTCTGTAGCTGGCTGATACACGCCTCTAGATTGTCCTCGTTGACTAGGCCAGGGTTGAGGTGTGGTATATTCCGACTGGCTAACACACCCAGGATTTCCTTCCTCAATGTGTTCAGGTAGTTTTGGAGATTTTCATTCTGTTGGGCAATGGCTGAGTTTTCTTTCTCCTCTTGATGAACCTGGTTCTCTAAACTTGACACCTCGGACCTCAGCTTGATCACTGTTGACTCGACAGCCATATTGGAGGTCCGCAGTTCAGCGATTTCCTCATCCATCTGCTGAAATTCTTCATCTTCTTCTAGATCTGCAAAGGAAGCATATAACTAAGATTAATATGGCTCCATTGATGCAAAGTAGAAATTCATACACAGAATCATTTACATTACTGAAGTCATCAATCCTGCGTACAACAAGTTATTTAAATGTATTTGTCCCAGTCAAACTATATGCTTGCTTATTTTTGGTCCGAGTTAAGGACGACTTGAAGAATACCTCTTTGCATACTACCAGCCATAATCCCCAACTGGGTTATGCAAGAAGAATCACATGTCTCATGTGGAGCACACATGTGGGATAACTATATCCTCCACAGAGGCAGTCAGTGCTCCCGGTTTGGTGACTTTAACTTGAAAGAAGATCAAGATAATTTATTTGAGGAAACTTTATATAGGTACCTACTGGACAAATATTATGACCCTTGGTTCTCCAGTTCTTAAGAAGAAGATGTTCAAAGAAAAAGTTGATGGACGACACCCCATATCATAAGCTCATAGTCACTTTGTGCCAGGTAAGCTAAAACTTGCTATGAAACTTTACCAAACTGTTTTAAATTATACCTTTGGTATATATCGTTCATACATTTTCCTTGACTTCTTTACAAATATGTTCTCGGTAAAGCATGGTATCTAAAACATCTATTCTATTCATTGTTGCATTTCAAATGTAATTGTTAATTTTACCAAATTCTCTGGCAAGAGGTGGTAGAAAATAGACAATCATTTATATGTAGGTATGTGGGACAGGGAGAAATTTATAAAGATATTTTTGATACAAGAGTGATAAGATTGTATGTACAGGAATATGTACCTTCGCCACTCTGGAGTTTCATATGGAGGTTGGTAAGCTCTGCAGGACTAAGTTTGGCTTTTTTCATTGCCTGGGTGGCTCTGGGACAACCTGACAGACTGCGGTGGGACAGGAAGCTGCCGTTAGAATGCCCAGATCCGTCACATCCAGGGGTGGGGCACCTAGAATCACATTTAACAAACAAGACATCACTTTACAAATCTTTACAAAACTGAAAATTTTGGGCGATTAGTTTGCTCATAACACTGTTTTTGACACAAATGTTGATTAGGACAATTTGGCTAACACCATACAGGAATTTGTTTGTTACTCTTCCAGAAATCCTACACTAAGAAGATTCAGACTAACAAGAAACCCCATAGTTTATGAATATTTTCTACCTTACACATTACACCCATCAAGATTATGCTGTTATATAATTAATTCCTGTGAACCTTTCAAATGGGTCATCAATTTTTATTCTCCTTCAAATAACTGACAAAGTGCAAAAGTATCATTTATAAGCCATATCATACAGGTTTCCTTGTAAAGAACTCTTTTGGAATCAAGTTTCTTATCCCAGTAAAGGTAACATGAAACCTTCACTAATTATGCAGCAGACAATATCAAATAGTCACGTACACAACGCCATCCATTTTGAGTGCCTTGGCTAGTTCTGGATCCTGACCATCCAAGCTGGCCAGCAGCTGTCTCTGTAGTTTGTGTTTGTTGGCAAGGGGGCAGCCAGAGGCACTGTAAAACAACACATCATTACACAATAGGTCACATAATGGTACAATTTCTATCAGTTGGTTGATCACGAGATGTTAGTAAAATTGTACGCTACATGCCGGGTACCTTTTGTGCTGTCAAAATCAATACCTGAACAAAATTTTCCACAAATAGATTTAGAGAAAAGACAGAAAAATTTCAAACATCTCTGCCTTAAATCATTCTTGATGCATTATTTTGATAAAATATTGAACTCAGAACTTAAACTTATTTAAATCTTGGATTTTTAGGCAAAATTATACATAAATGTATATTATTTGGTTTTACAATTTAGCAGTTACATGACAGATAAGATGGCTATATAATAAATATATCTGTTATTTAACCCCTTCAAAACAGACACTATAGTGTTTTGAGTAGGTCTAAAGGCCACTTGTACATGTGCTGCCAATAGGATTAACACTCAACTGGCGTACTGAACGCTGCTAGTCACACTTCAAATACAATTAAATTGACATTTCACGAGACTTGTGTGATAAACCAGTCTGCAAGCTTTAAGCCGGTAAACAATATGCATGTATTGAAACGAATTCTTGACCCTTTTTCGTTTTTACCCCAACTCAGCCCGAATGTTTAAGGCTTTACATGATAACGATCTTAATCAAAATCAGAAAATCATGATAGATCTTATTTTTCAATAACATTTGAAAAAGTTAGGATATTTTTTTTTTAAAAGTCAGGGTCATATGAAGGAAAGGTAAATAAACATTTTTCGACCCTTTTAGAATTAATGTAAATATCTTAATAAGATTGGAAGCCATATCATGTACACAAGAGGCCAAGGGGACCTTAATAGCTCACCTGGTATTTTATTTTTCAATTTAAAACCTGCTGAGTACCAAACAGGGTTATCAAAGGAGTACAATAAACAAAGTTGCAAGAAGAACTACCAATAAATCTGTTTTGGTGGGGAAGACACCAAGAAAATGAGTTTCCATGTTATGTCCCAATTTTCCTCTATTTCCTCTAGTGGGCCTATTAAATATTAAATTCCCTTTGCAAGAAGATTCTCTAGAACAAGTTTGGTCAAAATCCCTTCATCAGTACAAAAAGGAGAAGGATCTTTAATGTTTTCCTCTATTTCCCCTTATGGAACCCTCCCATCTGCCCCACACCCTCTGTTTATACAAAGTTGAGGCTCCTTTGTCCAAAGATGCTCTAGAACAAATTTGGTCAAAATCCATCTATTGGTTGAGAAGAAGATTTTTTAAAGATTTACCTATTTTCCCCCTATTTGGCCCTGCCCCTCTGCCCCCAGGGGGACCATTCCCTCCGTTTATACAAAACTGAGAACCCTTTGGCCAATAATGCTCCAGACCAAATTTGGTAAAAAATCCTCTGAGCCGTTAACGACTATTATTATTTTTATTGATTTTGAGCTGACTCTGATTGGCTGAAACAACATCATGTGACCACCTGTAAAAGTAGTTATAAACCTGAGTGGTTTGCAGGTGTTCAAAAAAGTTGGTAGAACAAGTGTTATTGACCTGCTATAAATAGATTCTGGAACAGGTGTTCAAAAAAGTTGGTAGAAAAAGTGTTATTAACCTGCTATAAATAGATTCTGGAATTTTTGTAAAAAAGTTGGTAGAAAAAGTGTTATTAACCTGCTATAAATAGATTCTGGAAAAAAAATGGGAAAAAAAATGGAAAACTATATTTTTGTACATTTTTTTCTTCAATTTTGAAAAAATCAATTAAAATAATAAAACTATTGTAGCATGGTGATTTCGGTCGATACATGGTTTTATCGACCTAGGTTAGCAATATTGACCTCGGACTGCGTCCTCGGTCAATATTGCTAACCTAGGTTGATAAAACCATGTATCGACCTCATCACCATGCTATAATTGTATAGAAGCGTTTTAAAGGAAAAAGTTGCCGGACACCGGACGCTGCGCCATGGCATAAGCTCACTTGGCCCTTTGGGCCAGGTGAGCTAAAAACAAGTCAACTTCCTGTGTTATATCAATATATACACACACAGTTTTCTTACTTTACATTAAACATTAAAAGTTAAAATATATAAATATATATATATTCATAAACAGCAACACATGCAAAATGAAAATAAGTCATAAAATGATTGCAAAATGTTTTGATCAGAATTGCTTAACTTGGACTAATATGATAATACATTATGGTAAATGCAAAACTGGCAATACGTGGGTTGCTAAAACTGGAAAACTGAAGATATCCACAGGCAAGAGTGCTCAAGGAAAAGTAAGCTGAAAGGTTACAATACTGGGTACCGGTACTTCAAACATGACATATCTCACTTCAAACAGGATTATACTTCTGTATGCCTAGCAGCTTTACCTAGAGTTTACATTTTTCCACTTGGTAAATGTAATTGCATACGTCACAAATCGAAACAAAAATGCAGAAAAAGAAATTCTCCTTCTATTTTTTTGACTAATTTACAAATCGATGGTTTCAAATAACAAAAAGTGACCAAGAGAGATTGAAGAGGGATCTGATCACTCTTTTGAAGAATATCCTCTCAGAACCATTAGTTTTCCATCAAATATGCATCAACTTGTTAAACACCAAAACTAAGTTAGGTACGAGTTATTAGGTTACCTCATTGACTTGCAGTTTCAAACAATAAAACAAATTTTATTCAAGTCTTATTATTCCTTTGAAAGGTATAATCCAGAAACCATTAGCCAATCAGACTGCTACATGGTCCAGCTAGATAGATAGATATTCTTTATTTCCTCTTACATAAGAGATTATACACATAAAGACACATTTCACATATGACAGAATATCGGGAAACATCTACAGAACAGAGTTCATATCTTTCAAGAGGTGTTTAATATTGGTGGCTACTGCTAGCATAAGTTGCTCCCATTCGTCATCTGGTAGTGATACTTTAGTTCGATCTCCAAGAAGGAAGTTTGTCAAAAATGAGAAGTCAGCGTATGAATTCACATTTATACAGTCTACAATTTTCTCTAAAAACATATCTCTACTATGAAATAAGTGTGTCACAATATCACTTCTTTCCTTCGAGCACAGTTTACAAACAACGCCAGTGTTCGCCCAAGTAAATGATAATTTGAGGATATACACTATGTCCCACTTAAACGGTCTATATTTCAAGCTTAGAAGTAATAACTGGCTAGGGCCTCGTGTCGTATGGATCACAGAGTAACGTCGGAGTTCGTGTTTTTCACTCAGTTTTTCTCTCCATTTATTGTAATACCGGTCTGACATAAATTTGTCAAAAAAGCATTTCCATGCGTATTTTGGTATAGTTATGGGGCTAACGATAAAGTCTCTGAATAGACACTTATATAGTTACTTATATAGTGCTTTAAAATACATCAATATATCTCAACTGAATTCAATGTGAAGTTCTGTAGTTTTAAATGTGGACCCGGTAGGTGTGTCAGAAGAGGGAAAGGAAGTACAACATCTACTTATTTGTTCACATATGTACAATAGTTCTACACGGATTGCAAACAGCCCTTAAAACATAGAAGTATACAAACTAGTAAAATACCCTGTTATAAAAAAAATATCTGAGATAATCTTTAATCAAAATCCACTAGGAAAGGAAGTCATTACAGTAATGACACTGAATCAGGAGAGGTTGGGACATGATAGGACAGACATAGACTCCAATACAATGTAGTTTCATGAAAAGCTTTTAATACGATCGATGGCACTACAGGGGGTGCGACAGTGAAACTCTATTTTTAGTAGGTGAGACCTTGACCTTTGACTGATTACACTATGTTCTGACATTTCCAAGATAAGTAAAAGGTTAGAATAACTGAATAATAGAATAATAGAGTGTGGTGAACAGACAGATAGGGTTATAATATGCATCACAAAAAATAAATGATCCAATGAAATAAGATTCTGCATCCAGAACGGCTTAGCATGTGCAACTTTGTGAATTTTAAAAAAGAAGTGCAATATGAACAACATAAATGAATGAAATTTAAGGAAATTTGGCAGTTTATAAACGAACAATAGATACATGAACATGTATATGTTACAGAAATGGATATAAAGTTCATGCGACTGATCTCAGAAAGGTGCTAGAGGAATCACTGACATCGTACATGACAACTAAACATTCACAAGACCATGATAGTTTGACACTCAAGTACCTGCGATGAGACAAATATTTTCCGGTCACATGACCCGTCCCATCACACCCTGGGATCGGACATCTACAAGCAAATTGTGTTAATAAGTCTACATGCTCCTGCATACGTGTGAGTAGCTGGAAGTTCAAAACATGCAACCAAGCATGGAAGTTTAAAATGGTGCAATAAGTATATGTTCATTTCAATGAGACCCCTTCCTGAATATCATTGTATGTATATATATATATACTACATTTCAATGAGACCCCTTCCTGAATATCTTTGTATGTATATATATATACTACATTTCAATGAGACCCCTTCCTGAATATCATTGTATGTATATATATATAAACTACATTTCAATGAGATCCCTTCCTGAATATCATTGTATGTATATATATATACTGCATTTCAATGAGACCCCTTTCTGTATATAATTGTATGTATATATATACTACTTTTCAAATCATACCTGTAATTTTTATCAATTATCTCCCTGCATTCAAAGTTTTATTCGACCTAAATATCCATTATAAAATAAAATGACTCAAATTTTATGAATACCTGTATTATTTGGAAAGTTTCTGTGTCAGCATAACCTTTTTTGAGTGATCTACAATGTCAAAACCAGTAAACGAATAAAACAGGAAAGGGCCTCTGAACTGTTTTCAATGGTTATGCAAACAAATTAGTTGCAGAAGGTTAGAATTAGTGTTAAACCCTTGTTAACAGTTAGTTAACTATTTCAAAATCCATTAGAATGCCTACAGTTATGTCCAGTCGAGTGACTTCATAAGTGGACTGAATCATTGAGGCTATCCTGATTTGTTGAGATAATTATCATCAAGAGAAACACCCAAACAATTATGAGGGCAAAACTATTATTTCAAGCAATTAAAATATTTTTTCTTCAACTTCAATAGTTAATAGTGACAATCAAAATTTCAGTCATTATTTTGCTATTGGATTAAATATATACTCGAATGTAATAGAAAGAATTGGTTACACTCAGACCCAACTGAGTTAGTTTCAAATAAGCTCATCATAACTCTATGAATGTCCGCTAATAAATAGGGGCAGAATGTAACCTTTTTTTTATGAAATTTTCTAATACAAGCACAGCATTTCTTACATATAGGCTTATCAAGCGCTCAGATAGCAATTATGTTATGATGGAGTGTATAATTTACATACATGGCACACCTATAACCAACCACCTACAGCTAAGCCAGACCTCCACCAGCTACTGTCTATTTGCCCCACACCTATGACCAACCACCCACAGGGACCTGAGGATTTGTTACAGCTATATTTGGACCTAAACTAAGGTGTTCAGAGTAATTTTACATGTTTTAGGGGTTTAGATTGGCTTTCGGTAACAAGTGACACCCCAAATGATCATATATATCTGAGAAGGGAGGAAAGCTCTCAATGGAGAAATGTCAACCCCACCTAACTTTCTGGCATCAAAAACAACATTTTTAGTTAACCTACGGAAAAATGCCTCGTACCGTTGGAAAGATGGATAATTTTTCTTTTAAAAACCTCCTAAATGCACGTAAAATGTATTCTCCTTCCGCGGACATGAACTCTGTTTCCTCCAAAAACACACGCCATTTCAGAGTTTCAAAGTTTTTCGCAGTCAGTCTGCCACTTTTTTTAATATTAATGAGGTCGAGGTCAGCACATGCTGAAACATGCAGTGTTGGTTGGTTTAGCGAAAAATTGGCAGCACTTCCTGCAAATCACACCAAGTGTCTCGGCATGCGCTGGTCCAAATATAGCTGTAACGAATGCTCAGGTCCCTGTGCAACCACCTGCAGCTAAGACAGAACAGCCACCAGCTACTGTCTATTTGTCAAACACCTTTTACCACCCACCTACAGCTAAGTTAGAACCACCACCAGCTTCGTACCCTCTATTTCACCTGTCTCATCAAGAACAGCTTTTTGTGGGATCACTCAAAAGATAATTCAGGTAAAACTCTTTTACAAGTTTACCTAATAACACAAAAATATAGTTAAATGAGGTGTAGTTAGTGAAGTTGTGTGCCTCTACAACCAAAAACACCCATAGGTAACAAAAAAAATAAGCTCATTACGCAGTTGCAGCCTCAATGTTTTATTTTTCTTCCCCCTGAATTCTTATTTTCATATTTATATTTACATACAGCTGCTTTAAACACTACACACATTTATATATGATCAAATACAAGGAGGCTAGATAAACAGACAATTTAGTCCTGAACATTCATTGATTAACCAACAAAAAGCTGTTCTACAAAGAGGAATATATAGTGGTTTGACCAATGTTCAGGTCAACACCTAGTAAATCACCACTAGCTATAGGTAAAATTACCCATGTTAAACTTAAATATCATTAAAGATATAGCTTACCGGAGCGGCTCATCCTCCTTCCTGTCACCTTCCTTACCCAGGATCTTTTTCAGCTTGGCCGCCCTCGGGCAGCCAGACAGACTGCGGTGGGAAGCGTAGTTACCGGTCACATGACCAGACCCGTCACAGCCCGGCGTAGGACATCTGTTAGGTTGATACGTGTTTACATGCATACAAATCGAAAGTCAATATTCTAAGCCTTAATTTACTCAGTCTCAACTCAAACTATCTTTGATCACATGACATCTTTGAGTAAACAGCTTTTGATCTTAAATAATTCAAGGGGGAATTTGAGGTTAACTTTATATTGTAGTCGTTTATCTGTCCTAACACAACACTCAACATCAATCAAAGTTAAAGGAACGGATAACATACAGTTTTTTTAAACATTGTCTTTTATTTTGAATTTCTTTTTTAAAAGCTTACAAACATAATCAGTGACATACCAGTGCCTTATATTACAATTTATTACAGCAGTACATTTTCATCAACAGAATCTCTCCAAGTAACAAATGTTTTACTGCAGAAAGTCAATTTCCTCAAACAGCTTTTTAACGGGAAAACAGTGGTTTAACATGCTTTTATATATCCCAAACAAATTCTTTTGGTATTTATTCTGGAGGTAGCAGTCAATCTAACTAAAATCGAATCCTTCACTGTTTCTGTACAATCTCTTACAGTCTGTGATCAGACAACACAAATAAGGAGAGTTCTGGTTTACTTCAGCCAAACTGTGTTGCACGATCATTGATGTATGGAAAGGTCACCTGAATGAGTGAAGGATTTGATTTGAGTCTGACTGAACTTAATATTGTCCTTGGAGAGAGTGAGTCATTTATATAATAAGAGAAAAACATACACAATTTTCAATCTGCAGAGAAATCACCAACAAACATCATGACTATATACCGAGTCCTTAAAACTGACAAGGAATTTCTTCAAAAAGTCTTATAACATATATTTCTAAACAATATTTAGACAAATTCTGACGAAAATGATGATGATGATGATGATGAATCGGTGTAATAATAAAATGAAATGAGAATGATGCAGCCAGCATTCTTGCATTCCATGCGGGATATAAGGATAAAGGTTACTAGTGCTGTCGACCAATCAAAAAGCTGACAGGGAAATTAAAGAGAACACTGACAGAATTACCCAGTTACTATGGAGACCTATCATTGTTATTGGTCAAAACTTACTTTAAATCAATCTGATTGGCTTGTACCGTGGCTCTATCAGCCAATGGGCACCCCGATAGGCTTCTGTGGGAAGAGTAATTTCCTGTAATGTGCCCCGATCCGTCACATCCAACGGTGGGACATGGAAGGCTTTCTTTATTTTCCATCTTGATCTTTAGGAAGTCTGGACTTTCAGAACGAGGTTCGTTGTCATGGTCTACTGGACTACAAGCGGACTCCCCTGATAATCTATGATGGCTATGCAAGAAAGGCGACTTGAAATCAGCGATGTATCATGCAACAACGAGCATGGAGATGATGAGATCAATATCAGTAATGTCGTAATGATTGGTTTTAGTACTTTCTATAAATGTTCTCAAATATATTCACCAGTGATGGATCCAGAGGAATTTTCTGGGCCTCAGGACCTTCCCCCCCATCTTTTAAAGCCATGTATTCTCCCAATTTTGACCCCCACTACCAGATTGGTTTCTGGATCCATCACTGCAGGTTAATTATATGTTAAACACAATAACAAAAACAAGGCAGGAAAAACAATACACAAAATGAAAAATAAATAACAAACATAAAATATAAACATATGAGTTTGATGACACAGAAAAAGGAGGAGGGCACAGAAAGATTGTAGAAAAAAAGAAAAAATCATAAAAAACAAAACAAAAACTTGAAAAAGCAAACTAAAAGACAGTTGAGCGATAACAATGTTTTATTTTTCTCACCATGATATTTACAACATGTACTACAACAATAAGAGGTCAACAACTGATATTTTATATGTTGTGCATGAGGACTTCTACCAAGGGTGTGACAACAATTACTATGGGACTTCCCCAGCGCACCCACATACTCCCACGGCCAACACCCCTCACATCACCAGACACCAATGTGTGACCAATTAAAATGCAGAAACAATTAAAAAACAAATTAATAATCTGAATTTAAGAAAAATAAGTTAAAATTAATCTTTATCCGGGTTTTCAAAGTAGCATTTCAATAAATCTTATCAAAGTAGTTCTGTAAAATTAATTTGTGACCTAAATAGTCGGTTGGCAATGGGATCGGGTGTGGCCGTGGTTGCGGTAATCATCGAGTATATAAATTCAACATTAATTACCTGTCAGCATTTAAGTCCCCACACCTGGAAGTAGAAATTGGAGTTTTAATATCTTGAAAGTTTACAATTTAATAAATGCAAGCTGTACTAGAATTCCAAAAATGATAACCACTACCAAGTCAATATCCTATCAGGCTTACATTTTTGATCAGAAATGTTACAATTTTAATGAAATGACTTATATACAAATGTTTTTAGACAAACCCAAAACAATTTATATGGGGCTTGCAGGGACTTAAATGCCTGAAATTTAAAAAATAATCACAAACAAAATTGTATATCAGATCTTAATCATTACCAATATAACAAATTTGTGAGCACTCAAGCTCCAATTCAGTATGTGACACCTGTATATAATCTCAACAGAGCTAACATCACCAAAATAGGACCTTGACCTTGTAAGTTTACACGTTTGGAAAGGTAATTTAAAAGTAAAACTTGTATAATTATATAACACTTTATTTTGACTTGACACATTTTCTTCCTAAGATGTGTCAGGATTTGATTTTAATTTATCAATAAAAACATTAGAAATTTTAGATAAACCCAGAGAACTCGCTCTGATAACAGATCAACATGGTGTATATATGTGCAGTACTTCTGTAAAAAAAGTTTTAACAATAACAAAATCACCTAAAAAATACTTGTCATGTAAATTAAAATTCTTTTAAACATTCCAGTACATATGGTAACTTTTTCCACAATTTAGGACCCTTCCTGGTCCATAGTGTGGCGATTCAAAGTCAACATAGCATCTAACCCTATGGATTCCTATTGCAAAATTCAATTTGACAAGAACAATAGCGAAATATTTCCATCACTAATTCATTTTCCAAATCTAATAGTAGACTGCAACCCTAGCCCCCTCCCTCTGAACTGAATATCTGTTCATTTCTCTAACCCTCTGAACTGAATATCTGTTCATTTCTCTAACCCTCTGAACTGAATATCTGTTCATTTCTCTAACTACATATAAGCATCGCCTATGCCTCATCTTATATTTGCAGTATGAATCCAAGCATTGCTTTGTAACAGGTACACATTCTACACATGGAATTAATACTAGATACTGTCAGCGTGAATACACCGGTACCCTCAAACGACACATACTGTTTTGGTTTTGAAACAATTTATAAGGTTCAATGTTCTGTAATGGGCACCTATGTTCTGTAATGGGCACCTATATCAGAGAGCACAGATATTTTCATTATCCATATAAAACAATTTTACCCCTATGTACAACAATAGTAAGACCCATGCCTAAAGCAAGACAGATCCACTACTTAGACTCCAGGGGTGAGAAGGCTGATCAGCAATTCAGCTCACATTTCTTAGCTATAGGGAACTACCTATGGGAGCCCTCATTTCTAAAACCAAATTTCTCAAAATTTCTCAAAACTCCTGAGTCATATATTCATGATCATTATGAAGACTTATGTTTTCAATATGTGTGTCAGTAACACCATAAATCTACAGAATCAGTAACATCTCTTACTAAAAGAGAATATCTTCCTAGAAAATGATGGTATTTAAAATGTTTGATAGATGGAAACTACAAATAGATATTTCCCTATGGCCTGGATTTCAACTGTAGAGAGTTCATGGCAAAAAGACATCCTATTATACATAATACATGTCTTAGATCCCATCAAACTCAGCACAGCTGAATGTGCTAATAAGGGGAAGCTACTTCTTCTTGAACTGTGGGAGTAGGACGTACCCCGAGGGCACGTTGATTGTTTGTCCTGAGGGGCTGACGTATATAGAGTTGATTGTGGGTTTAGTTGAGGTTTTGGTTGTGTTGGATGAAGAGAGTATAGATCCGGGGGTGGGCATTTTGGACTTCGCCATCAAGGGGTTAGGAATAGTCAACGTCGTAACAGACCTGGTAAATGCCACCGACGACTGTGATGCCCCACCAGGGGGCACCCTTTTCCTGCCGAGAAGGTCACTAACACTGTTAAGGAAGTCACTTCCTTCCAGGGAGGTGGTGGAGGAACTTCTGGACAGGCTGTTTCCGGAGGACACACTGCCGCTTGATGATGAGGATGATTTATTCTGAGGCTTTAAACTGGGCCGTCGGAGAATATTTGGACGGTCAGAGTCACGTTTCATGACCTTGGGTTTGACAGGGGGAAGAGGGGGGGTAGTGGAGCGTTCCGTGGAGGTGGGCTGTTCTACTGTGGTAAGCCCCTGTACCATCCCTACTCCCTGGCTGATTGCCGCGGCCAACGTGGCGGCCGTTGCCCCCTGTAGCTCTGGACGGTTATACTTCTCTAACTCCTTGGCCAGATTTCCTCGCGGTGTCGAGGTGGACACCACAGAGTCAATGCTCTGTAGCTCCAGTTGTTTGGTGAGTATCATTGGCCTCAGCACTCTGTCTGTCTCTGAGGTGTAAACAGAACAATCAAATCAACAAATCTAAAGGTTAATAAGCACTTATAATCAACCAAAGAAATAACAATGGAAACAGTTTGTAGTAAAACCTATTTATAACAAACCCTGGCCAGAGAACCTACTGATAGGTTTTCAATAAGATTCATCAGTTTGGAAAAATGTAATATCAAAGTTTTACTTTATACACAAACAATGTACGTATTAAACGTGTCGCAGAGTTTCAAGACCAACCTGTCCTTTTGTCACAGCTTGATTAGTTTGTGTATAGAGTAAAACTTTGATATTACTATTGATAGTTCATTTTATGCATTTTGTAGAGTAGTTCATAACACAACTTAGGACAGATATACAATCTTAAAAATTAACTCGCAAGGGTTTTTGATGAAAACAGGTTTTACTATTTCAATAACAAATTGAACTATTATCATCAAAATTAAATAAATAATCAATAAAAAATCAATTTCATCAGATAGAATATTGATGAAAATTATTTACCACTTGTTCAATACTTTAATACATATATAGTTTTGATGAAAGTATTGTAACCATATGTTATGTCTAAAAACATTTAAATATTATTTATTCATTTAGTTACATCATCAAAGGAAAGTGAAAGAAAAGTAAACCATCTATCAAGAAGTGCAGATTTATACTTAAATAGTTGGAGACAGCGTTTTTCATGCGAAGAACGTAACAAGTAAAAGATTCATGAAGGTCATGCAAACAACACAACACTGATAAAACGCCTCTATCTTTAGATCAAGGACAAATGTATAACTAATAACTCTAATGTCAGTTCAAGTATTGACAGACGTAGAACGCTGACGAAGAATCTCAACCGTCAGATCACTTGTCAAACGGGTAACACTAATACAGAGACTCAGCCCTCAAATCAAACCCCTGAAGTTTCATAATGAACTATTCCAACCTTTTGAATTGGAAGAGTTCAAATGTGTCTTCAGAGGTGAATGAGTTAAGGCTAGACTGATGTGCGATACTGATAAGGAGCCTTTACTGTCAGATCGAGGCTTGAAGACAAACATGTAATAAAAGATGAACAGAACAAGATCAAACAATTGGTAAGTCCCAAACTCAAACTTATACAAAGGTGTACATACATCTAAGATAATCTCTTTGTAACCTGGTGATTTTTAGGCTAAAATTAAGAAACAGAGTTGATGAAAGAGGTAGACTAGAAAAAAAGACAGATACGGTGTAACAGGTCCCCGTTTTCGTCATCAAATAGGGCTTTAGTAAAATCAAAATAAACTTGAGGGGCATGTGACCTTTTTTACGAAATTTGACAAGCACGTTTGTTTGCGCTAACCCTGATTTGAACAAATCTAATTCTGCATAGAAAGGTAATGCTTATAAGGTAATCCTTAACAAATACTAAACTGGAAAAGAAGAGTTATGAACAATTTTCGAAAATAGCCTGTATTTTGTCCCGTTCATAGGACTATGGCCAAAGTATGACTTTATATGAATCCCTTTTAAGAGTAGTAAGTGTTTTTTTTATAAATATGCCAATGTATCTTTTAAAGAGAGGCTTTTCAAAGAAATTTTGATGGACTGACAATGGTTGCCTATCAGGTCTGGTGAGTTAAATATGAAACCTTGATAAAGTGCAGGATATCACAATGGAAATGGTGTGTGTTGTATCACAAGTCGAGAAACAGAAGACATTCTGCTACAGAACGCTACAGAAATAGTGTTTAATACGTCACAGGTCTGGGCAATGACAGCCTCAACCTTGTAGCCAGAAATATGGCTGAAGTCATCTCATCCCAAATTCAGGTTCAACAAAGGTGGTTTAGTTATCCAATTCCCAGATTCTGTGTGACCCCAACCGTTATGGGGTTGTTGTTAATTTTACTAAAACCCGAGGCATTTCATAAAACTATGAAAAAAAAAAATCAAAAATTGATATTTCCAGCCACCGGACTGGAATAAGTTTCTGTCCAATCATTTTTTTTTAATATTCTTTTCTGAAAATTTTGTAATCAATCTTTATGCAAGTCAAAAGAATTTCTGACAACTCCAATGTTGACTGAACGGGGATGAGTTGAGACAAAACAATAGGTGCACAGCGAATTTAGTGTACAGGTACCGACCCGAGGCAGACAGTCCGGCCAAGCTACTCATTGATTTGTCAGAGAATTTGCACTTCTGAGCAGCCAATCGGATGAGCTCTTTTTCATTGCATGTGGCAAGTACCGCCTTGGATGGGTCGTCTTCTTTTGGGAGCAGAACAAGATGGAGCCCTGACACCGATAAAAAACAAAAAAACAAAAAAACTTACGTCAAGCTAAAAACGATCACAATGGCTGACCATCTAACTACAAGGGACCCGCTAGAAATAAAAGATCATTCAACAACAGACATGGGGAAACAAACCAAAGGGCGGCCATGCTCTGTGTCAGTGAAATATCAAGTAATCAAAATCAAAATTTTAAATAAAGATCACCGGAGTCTATGCAGATTAATCGGTATGCATTACATACCGTATTTACCCAGTTATAAGCCCGTGCCTGATAATAAGCCCACCTATATCTACTTATTAGAGGAATGCTCAAAGTTATAGTACTTGTTGCACAGAATATTCTGCATAGACCCAGTACAAAATTCACCTATAACAAAACCATCAACAAAAAATAAACGTTAACTGTGACATACTGTATGGATCTCAAAGAATAGATCTGTTCAATTTCAATGATTAATTTCCAAATAACATCAGAACCATACAGTATATCGGCCTATACAAACCCAAATTTGGTTGTTTTAATAAATCTACAAATCCAAAAGACACATTTTTTTTCACTCTTTTTCTTTTCAAACATACTATTTGTATGTTATGTAACATTTGTTTCTTTATCTGAACTAAGTTGAACCAAACCTTGTGGATCAGGTATGTCCAATAACCTGACAGATCAGCTATGACAATTATTTTCAACTATTAACTCTATAAACCAATTTCTCAAGAAGTGGCCCCCATGGTCCAGAATTGATCTCCATTTTTATATCTGGTCCACATTCCATAGAACAACTGCATTAAAGTACACAGGAAATGCCAAAACATAATAAAATACTTTTTGGTACGATTTTGTGTATTTCTGTTTTTTCGTATAGAAGCAGAAAATCGTATCGTCTTTTTGAAAACTCACCCCTATATTCATTTGCACATGGACTCTTATTCATTACCAGGTAATTAAAATTAAAGGCATTGTAAGATGAAAACTAATTCCATGATGACACCGTTTACGTAGAAGATGGACTCACCAGATTTCCTGGCATTTGCCTGTGTGGAACTGACTAGCTTTCCCATGGCAGCGATCGGGCAGCCAGACAGACTGAAATACAATAACAGCGAGTCTGTAGATACATCAAACACAACTTACTGTTATAGTCCCCCAATCAGGCAAACACATCGTCACCATCACACATTGGGTTAGAATTTTCTCTAGTGTCAAGTGAAAATTTTCAATATTTACTATGAAAATTTAGATCAGGCTAGAAAGATTTTCAGTCTGCCAATGGACTAATACTCTGAAGAATGTTTTTTATAATTATCTATCTATTTATTAATTTTATTTCATTTCTTTAAACATGTTTTTATTTATTTATTAATTTTAATTCATATATGACTTTTTTTTATTGGGGTTTAACATCCTCACAACAGCCAGGTCATATGAAGATGGACCCTAAATATGAATTTGTATACTGCTGGTGCATTATTACAAGTGATGTCTTACACCTTCGAAGCAGACAGAAACACTGAGCAGATTAAATCTTCTATCACTTGTATACAGTTTCATCTACGTCTATCTTACATTAATAATGTAAAAGAGAAGACCAGAAATGACCATTAAGGATATATAAGACTTAGTTTCTTAACTAATTTCTAAAAGATTTTCAGAATCAGGAACCTAGAATTGATCTTTTATGATTGGCAATAAATGGATGACTTATTTGAAAGGTGAATATACACAACAAAGCATGCATTGATAAGGTCACTCTAAACTGTAACATACTGTTAATGAAAAGTTTCATAAGGGAGATAACTCTAGCACAATTCACAGGTAAATAGCATATTCCCCTAAGCAGTGTCAGTGTCTTACCTTCTGTGGGTGCTTCGTGTACTGTTGATGTGGCCCTTTCCAGTACAGCCTGGTGTGGGGCACCTACTCAATACAAAAAGTATCATGGCTTATGTCAGTAAATTTTGTCTAGAAAACACCGGAAAAACAGGATCATGGAAATCAAATCAGTGTGAACAAAGTAAAGGGGGAAACTGAACAGAAAATCAAAGTGGTGTGAAGGAACAATTCAAACAAACTGTGGAACTGAATAAGTTATTTAAGTTGTGTAAAGAACCGTTCAAACAAGGATGGCATAGATCAGGATCTAAAGTTGTGAGAATTAACAACTGAAAAAAAAGATACACTGATCATGAATGATGACAAAACTTTAGAGAAATACAATGAATATATTTACCACATCATTTTTTATAATGTTATAAATATTACCTTGGTTGCAATAATATCAATATTTATCTAGAACGCTTCGCTACTAATATTGGTACTTACCTGGCAAGACTCTCGTGCAAGGCAACAACTGAAATAAAAATAAAAACAATTACATAAACAGGTTAAAATATTTCCTTTCTTTTATTTTCCAACTACATATAAATTAAGTTCTGAAGGATGATTTCTGTAAAATAGATTTCTTTTGAATTGTTAAAATGTTTGTACTTTGGTTTTAAAAACAATTTTGCCCTGTGTTCAATTTTCCCACACTTGGATCAAAACAGTCACTTACTTTCTGGAGGAGCCATGTTCTTCCTGGGACAGCCCGATAAGCTACAGAATTAGAGTACAAAGTGTTCAATTGCAGGTAATATGTCAAATGTTTTAAAGGTAAAAGAAGTAGATGGTGCCAGAAGTCCTGTTATATTCTTTTAATCGACCATTCTTTAAAACTACAATCTTGTTTCTGAAATAATAACAAGTGCATCAACTTCCAGATACTGAATGGAAACAATATCCAGTTTACAACTACACACATCAAGTAGAATAGCACCTGGTTTCTTCACTGCAAGGAAAAGTTCTCTTTATTAAAAATGTCTAATACAAAAATAGTAAGCTAGAAATATTTGAAAAATATACATTTCCCCCATTCCTACTGTGATGGAATGGTGTTAAACACTATGATTGTATAATCAAAGTCACTAAAGCAAAAATCATAGGTCACAGCGACCTACATTTGAAAATAGTCCTGAAAATAAATGCTGGATCCCGTATTAGAGTAACTGGGCCTAAACATTAAGTCTAATTGAGATGTCATACAGAGGGACGGGCTGGTAGATCGTCTTAATGCCACTTCCCTCCAATTTGCAGGTTGGTAAAAATTAGAACTTCCAGAATTAATAGAAATTGAAGACAAAATAAAACTAAAACGGAACAACTTCTTGAGATGGCACTTGAAGAAATAATTACAGGAAAACTTGAGCAACTTGAGCAGTACATGTATTATATAGTTACATACCTTCTATGATGGGAGTAGAGACCAGTTATATGTATTATATATTTACATACCTTCTATGATGGGAGTAGAGACCAGTTATATGACCCGTCCCATCACAACATGGAGTTGGACATTTCACATCTGAAATAGAGACATATATTTTCTTTGTCCTGTTTGGCCAATAAGAATGATATAAGATATAAACAGGAATTTCTTTTTGATTTAGCTGGTGTGAATATGAAAAGGTTACTATTTCAGAAAATGTAACTTAAGCAAATATATAGACCTGATGAGGATCTTGAGAAAACAGACAGACGAACATATCAGACATTCAATAGACTGATTCAGTGCACCTCATCTCCTCCATAAAATCTAGATATTATGGAGAAAGTATAAATAAACACTGCAACCATGTTTTGTTTAATGCTTCCAAATTTTAAACAAACTTTAAAACTTTGCTTTTAACTAAAACAATGTTCATGGGTAACGATTGTTTATACTCTGAAAACAAAGGCATTGTGCAGTCTTATAGGACACTACCAGCAGCTATAGCTATAACAGAGAATACACACAAAATATAGGTACGAGTCAGTGAATGTTGTGACAGATATTTCAGAACCCACTATATCCCATAATAATCGGACTAATCAAAGTTTTAAAAACGATGTTCAGGACACTCTTTAAAAAATCCTCAAAAATTCACTGAAGACTAGCCTTGTGATTAGTTATTGGTAAAACTTCTGCATAATTTGGAATTGATATATGTGCCAGCAAATCCTTGCTAAACCTAAAGTTACACAAAATCAAACTAGCTACCACTTATAAATGAAAGCGTATTTGTTTGAATGGGATTTTCAAAACTCGACAAAGACATCTGATATTTGATATAAAATGAAGACAGAATATTATTCCAAGACCATTTACCTGTGTTGTTGGCAGTAATTGCTACGTCCAGATGTTGTAGCAGACCTAGAACTATTTGTCTGTGGACATACACAGCAGTGAAAGGGCTTAGTATTTAAAATATCACATTTCAAATTTAATGAAAAGGTTTTTTGCTTCATGAGTGACACAATTTCAGTTTATATTTGTTTTAATCTCAGTATTCAAGGACTTATTTATCATACGAACTACGTTTCCTTGGTGATGTGATATGACAGTTCAATTACTCACACATTGGTCTCACTAATACAACAGCATAGGATGATCCGTCATCCAACCAAGTTTATATAAACATTGAAGCCTGTCTAATTTAACACAATGTATTGAATAAGACTTGACAGGTTGTCAGAATACACAGGTCTTATTAGTTACTTTTCATTAGAACTGAGATTGCAACATTATGTTGTATAATACAGGACTTCAGAAAATGCAGGTATCAGATAAGTCAGGTTACACTGTATTAACAACAAAACACACCAAGATACACACAAAGCTATACTGCATGACATTGTATTCAGCCTAATGATGTTCCTAATTTTATGAAGTTTTAATGACACAGCATCCCACCTAACAAGTTTCCTAATTACATTCAGATGTACTAACAAAATATCCATACTGAAAAGGTTTCTTAAAATAAACATCGATTAACATGTACTGACCTTTGTCTTTGCTGTCATCTGGTGCCAATGTAGGTTTGATGTCCTCGCCTATCTCAGATTTAGCCACAGAAGTGGTTGTTGTGGTCGGAGTAGCCTCCCCTGATGGTGTCCCACTCCATTCTGCCACAACTTGGAACTGGCCCTCTTCCTCCTCATCCTCCTCTTCCTCTTTTGGAATAACAGCAGCTGTAGCAGCCCGGATCTGACTAAGATTACTGACCAGAGATATGGGTAGAGGAATTCCCTTAGAGGTGAATACATTTAGTATGTCAGATTCGGCCTCTACTTTAGTGTCTGTAACATCTGTTTGTGTGGTGGGAGCCGCCCCAGTCCGAGATTGTATGGTAGCACATTGTTGTTCAATCTTTATAAGTATTTCCTCCTCATTGGCCGATTGCCCCTGTGATACTACTGTGACACTAGAGGAGTCCTGCTCACTCGATGTCTCTGACACACCAGTCGATGGCATATCTGGTTTCTCAACTTTGATCGCCACATTTTCAGACCTTGCAACTGTTATCACTTTTGTGATCACACACATGTCATCAGAGCTTGTTGTTTCCCCAGCGAAAACCTCCTCAACCTCACTAGAGTTTTCTTCCTTAATCTCGTTCGACTCATCCTCAACAATTGTGCATTCAATGACATCAGAGTCTAGCTCCCCGGAAAGACTACGTAAGGCTCTCTCCGCCTCCCTGAAGCACTGCTGTTCCTCGTCTAGGGGTTCCGATGCCTGCTTTCTCACCACCACAGACTCAAACAGTTGGTCAGGTGACTTCGTAACCATACAGTCCACTCCCATGTCTTGATCAGCCTCCATCTTGACCTGAATCAATTCAATCACTTCACCAGTAGTGTCTATTTTCTCCACTTTGATACACTTTGCAGCAGGTACATCAGCATCTTCACCTGATTCTTCCTGTTTCCTCTTTTTAGCCGCCATTGGACAGGTAGTTACACTGCAAACAAATGTATCTACACATGAATTATGTGGGTCTTACATAGTTTGATTATTTAATCGATTAAACAATAGATAAAATCCTGAAAAAGTTTTTTTTCACTTCACACATACAGAAATTCCGATAATAAATTGGATGTCATATACTTCAAAGATGGTTAATTGCAGTTTTGCCGATGCCTTGAAAAATATCATAAACTCTATCATATAATGTTCATTGTTTAAACATTAGTGATTTTCGTGGTTGCTGTTGGCAACCATGGCAATAAATTTACAGACTTGACAAATGTTTGTTTTATATGGGGTATCCATAAAAGTTTGTACTGCAAAACAACTTCAAACCATTGAAGATAATACCCAAATTTTATTTCATTTTAATTGGTATTTTGCAATAATGATAATGTGATGACTATAGTTTTAAATCTATTCCTATTTCAAGATTATTAATGCGACTCGCATCAAAACCTTAAATGTAGCTTGCTTGGAACAGGCTGACAAAACCAAAAAAATCTAGATTGTTTATATATCATATATAAAGTTACAAGTCATGACAGATTCCATATAATAAACCTTTGTGAAAGAAAATGCACAACTAGGTCGGGATTTCAATCCAGGACCCTCCTAACTCTAGATGGATGCTCTACCAATCGAGCTACCAGCTGGTTGCTGGTGAACGACCCAGTCCAGTTCCACTACATGCACACCTAATGCTAAAACAACTAGAACACTGACAGGTCAGAAAGGGCCCCGTCTTGTGGCAATATATCCCCCATAATCATCAAGAATCAATCTGCCCATATAGCTGAGCTTGACGTTTGACATCTGGACTTCAAAAAGAATCGCAAGGAACCAAAATATACATTTTACATGTACTATGATGTGAGTCTTGTTTCCTTCCACCTCCATATTTGCTGGGCTAACAGAAATGTAAATATCGGTGCAATACTCATTTGTTAGCTTTGATTTGTTTTATTTCACCTTATAAACCTCCTCCATCAAGAGCCAGGGTCAAAGTCAGAGATCCACTTTGTCTTTGACCTTTGGACCCAAAGCACTTTGACCATTAACCCAGTGACCCTGATCTTTGGTCAGTTAACTTATTCTTTAATTCCGACCAACTTTGCTTCTTAATATCATAACAAAATGATGTTCTTCAGTGAAAAGTACAAAACTTGACCTTGACGCTTTGGACCCTGTAACCTGGACCTAAGGTCAGTTGACTCTGTGTGAAGTTCTGAACAACATTGCTTCATTATGTCATAACAAAATGCTCATCAGGGAAAAGGTACAAAATTTAACCTTGACCTTTGACCCAGTGACCTTGACCTTTGGTCAATTGACTCCTTGTTTAATTCTGAGCAACATTGCATCAAAGTGTCATGGCGAAATGTTCACCAGTGAAAATATACAAAATGTAACCTTGACCTTTGACCCAATGACCTTGACCTTTGGTCAGTTGACTCCTTGTTTGATTCTGATCAACTTTGCTTCATCATGTCATAACAAAATGTTCATCAGTGAAAAGATGCAAAATTTGACCTTAACCTTTGAATCTAATGACCTTGACCTTTGACCTCGACTTTTTACCTCGGTGTGTCCTTTGTTTAATTCCGAACAACTTTGCTTCATAATGTCATAGCGAAATGTTCACCAGTGAAAAGCTACAAAATTTGACCTTGACCCCTGACCCGATGACCTTGACTTTGGTCAGTTGACTCCTTGATTAATTCTGATCAACTTTGCTACATAACGTCATTACAAAATGTTTATCAGTGAAAAGATGTAAAATTTGACCTTGACCTTTGAGCATAATGACCTTGATCTTTGACCTTGACTTTTAACCTCAATGTGTATTTTTGTGAACTGAACATCTTGACCAAGTTTCATGTACATCGGTCAATAAGTACCAAAGTTAACAGCCAGGAACAAAATTTGTGGACAGACAGACAGAGTGATTACTATAGGGCACCCGTATCTCCGATAAGGGGCCCTAATTAATTTACTTTGAATTCATACTAATGTTAGGCAAACACCTGTAAGAGTCTTTGGAAACCCCAAAAGTCTGCATAAAATAAACACTGAAAACCTCAATACTCCATATAAAACATCAACTGTGAAAACCAAAAATATATTTGATATGTAAACAAAAAAAATTATAAAACCATAATCTTGTGTACACATCAGGCACTTACCTTCTATGGCGAGAATACTTTCCAGTTAAATGACCTAATCCCTTACAGCCAGGGAAGGGACAGGCAGACGATAAACCAATTACTACAACATCTGAAACAAGGACATTTCAAGGTCAGCCTAGAGAAAACTAGTTAAACAAGACAATACATTATCAAAGTACATTCTTCAACAGCAATTTAACAAAAAACTCTGATATCACATCAGTCAGTTTATAGAGTGGTTCTTTAAAACTGTCAAAAAACATTTTACCTTCCTTTTCTTTCATTGTTCCATCTGTTTCATCATTTTTGTCCTGAAAAAAATGTAGATTCCAGTAATTAAAGTATTCTAAAAACAGGAATTAACAAATGACTTAATAAAAGTTACATGTAGCTAGTTATAGATAAAAGTTAATACAGCATTTCTAAACAGCATACGTAACAGGTGGCCGAGATTGTGAAGTGACACTGGACTAGGAACTAATTTTGATAACCACTAGTTAGTCCAGCTAGTAGTTTCCGATTTCGTAGTCCATGTCTTTAGAACCACTAGTCCAGCTGAAGGTTTCACTAGTCTCCGCCTATTGGGCCACCCTTATTGTTGGGACAATGGGACAGTCAACAGAGCCACCATCAACAATTACTCATTTATATATTAGCAATAATTTGATTAGGCCAAAAACAATCATGTGTGTTTCAGGTATCCCTACCTACTAAGATTTTCCTGAAGGCCCTGGAACATTTGATTACCTACTTTTATCCAACATTAATTTCTTAGCTAGGCAAGCTCACAGGCACTCATCTAAATGTACTTTCTTCCTGGTCTGGAACCCTGACACCACTCTTGACAGCTTAATAGCCATTGTGATGTGCAGAGATGCAATTTTGTTCTTGCATGTTACCCGAAACATGCCTACTTTTCGTTTGGCCTGATGTATCTGGCAGCAAACTTAAACACTGAGATATCAGCATGCGCCCGTTTTTAAACATCAGTACTACTTTAAGAAAAGTAGAACCTTCATAAAAGATAAGTAAAATTAACTGGATATATTGTAAGACAAGCATGACAGCACTTACTGTCATTGCTTGGATTATCATTCGTATGATTTGACCTTGAATCCCTTCCTGGACTGACCTTGACCTTAAGGGTATGACCCGAGACTGATGTATAGTACAATGCCTTATACTGTATCAGTCTATTTAGTTTCACCAATAAATGTTTAGTTTATAAAAAGGTTTTGCATAAGCATGACGTTTTGACCTTTGACCTTTGTGATGACCTTGGTAGTTTAGGCCTGAAATGAGGACATAACTACACTCTACACGCTCACCATCTGTCCTTATGCATCTATCATCATAATTGATGATACAAAGCATTTAATTTTTAAAAAATTCAGCTATTCAGAATTGATAGCCGAAAAGAAAAAAAACATGGAGTAAACAAGTTAAATGGATGTGATACAATTTGTTCCCCTGGCCTACGTTTTATTAACAGGGTCTCAATAAATAGCAGCAAGGATATCATTTCATCTCTAAGACAACTAAGCTCAATTTCATGGAAATGACAGATAACACAATGATTCTTGATGAGCAAGTAGACTGGTTATTGATTATGTAAAACACTTACCTCCGTCAAATCACATGTATTTTCTGCATCTAAAATAACAATACATACATATTACATTTGGTTTTCACTGCCATATCTGTAACATCTATGAGACGAGGAAATACAAGATACACAGCTTGTATACTGCAGTGTATTCATCCTTAGATCAATGAAATGTGAATTCATTATAGTAGACATTTATATGTCAATTCATTAATCTCAGCTGAATAAATTATGATATATTTCATTTCACTAATAAGAAGTCTATACACATAAACCTCATTCAGGTCTCCCTAAAAAGAAATACACAATGCTCGCACCTCAAAGAAGACACCCTGGCAGTATTTATATAGAAAATCTGAAAAAAAATTGTATCACATTTTCTAAATCAAGGACAGTTCGATTCGATTCAAATCAAAGAAATGACAACTGAAAAATGTACTGCACCCCCCCCCCCCCCCCCCAANGGAAGGGACTATAATTTCTTATATTCATTAATTTTTCTACAGTCGCCCAAACTAATTTTGTTGGGCCAGTGACTACCTCACTTTTGACAACTTTTGGTTGCTCGAGCAAGACTTTAACCGCCATTGGCGAGCAGGCGACCGTCCATTTTAGGCACTGCTGCAACAACAAGGGAACAAGGGCAACCTACATTTAAAATTTGAGAAAGATCCCTCTGGTACTTCCCGAGAAATACTGATAACAAACTTTCACTATCAAAATCAAAGATGGCTGCCTGTCCGCCATGTTGTTTATCCGATCAGTCTCAAAAGTTGCTCTGCACAGCTAGGGACTAAGGGAAACCTACATATAAAATTTGAGAAAGATCCCTCTGGTACTTCTTGAGAAATACCGATAACAAACTTTCATTATCAAAATCCAAGATGGCTGCCTGTCGGCCATGTTGTTTATCCGATCAGTCTCAAAAGTTGCCCTGCACAGCTTAGGACCAAGGGGAACCAGCATGTAAAATTTGAGAAAGATCCCTCTGGTACTTCTTGAGAAATACTGATAACAATAATTGTTTAAGGACGGACGGACGGACCACGGACACAGGTTGGGAGTGTGATGATGATGGTGGGCTAAAAAGAAATTGGTAAAACAATTCAAGTTGAAATTTTTACTTTTATGAGGCCGAAAACACCCTATAATAATGCCCTAAGTACTTTTTAGCAATTTTGCCCCAGAAATGTTTGTCTATCATCACCCGGCTCTGACCCCAGAACTTTTTAGCAATGATAAATAACCCAGTCCCATCCCAAAAAGTTTGTGGCAATGATAACCCAGTCCCAACCCAAGACGTTTGAATCAATGATAACCCAGTACTAACCTAAAATGTTTGTGGCAATGATAACCCAGTCACAACCTGAGAATGTTTTGTCTTTAATCAACCAGCCCCAACCCCACAGTTTGTGGCATGGATAACTCAGTCCCAACCCCACAAGTTTGTGGCAATGATAACCCGGTCCCAACCCCACAAGTTTGTGGCAATGATAACCCGGTCCCAACCACATAAGGTTGTGGCAATGATAACCTGGTCCCAACCCCACAAGTTTGTGGCAATCATAACCCGGTCCCAACCCCACAAGTTTGTGGCAATGATTACTCAGTCCCAACCCCACAAGTTTGTGGCAATGATAACTTAGTCCCGACCCCAGAAGTTTGTGGCAATGATAACTTAGTCCCAACCCCAGAAGTTTGTGGCAATGATAACCCAGTCCCAACCCCAGAAGTTTGTGGCAATGATTTCTCAGTCCCAACCCCAGAAGTTTGTGGCAATGATAACCCGGTCCCAACCCCAGAAGTTTGTGGCAATGATAACCCGGTCCCAACCTGACAAGTTTGTGGCAATGATTACTCAGTCCCAACCCCACAAGTTTGTGGCAATGATAACCCGGTCCCAACCCCACAAGTTTGTGGCAATAATAACTCAGTCCCAACCCCACAAGTTTGTTGCAATGATAACTAAGTCCCAACCCCACAAGTTTGTGGCAATGATAACTTAGTCCCAACCCCAGAAGTTTGTGGCAATGATAACTCAGTCCCAACCCCACAAGTTTGTGGCAGGGATAACTCAGTCCCAACCACACAAGTTTGTGGCAATGATAACCCGGTCCCAACCCCACAAGTTTGTGGCAATGATAACCCGGTCCCAGCCCCACAAGTTTGTGGCAATGATAACCCGGTCCCAACCTCACAAGTTTGTGGCAATGATTACTCAGTCCCAACCCCACAAGTTTGTGGCAATGATAACTTAGTCCCGACCCCAGAAGTTTGTGGCAATGATAACTTAGTCCCAACCCCAGAAGTTTGTGGCAATGATAACCCAGTCCCAACCCCAGAAGTTTGTGGCAATGATTTCTCAGTCCCAACCCCAGAAGTTTGTGGCAATGATAACCCGGTCCCAACCCCAGAAGTTTGTGGCAATGATAACCCGGTCCCAACCTGACAAGTTTGTGGCAATGATTACTCAGTCCCAACCCCACAAGTTTGTGGCAATGATAACCCGGTCCCAACCCCACAAGTTTGTGGCAATAATAACTCAGTCCCAACCCCACAAGTTTGTTGCAATGATAACTAAGTCCCAACCCCACAAGTTTGTGGCAATGATAACTTAGTCCCAACCCAAGAAGTTTGTGGCAATGATAACTCAGTCCCAACCCCACAAGTTTGTGGCAATGATAACCCGGTCCCAACCCCGCAAGTTTGTGGCAATGATAACTCAGTTCCAACCCCACAAGTTTGTGGCAATGATAACTCAGTCCCATCATCATGATTTCTATTTATCATCACCTGTGGATTTCGTAGCCCTATTCACCCTTCTATAGTCCCAAAAGGTGTGACAATATTTCGCTATTATGATCATCCTGCTCAACCCCGAAATATTGTGGCTATGATTATACGACCCAATCCCCAAAACTATGTAGCCATTATCTTGTTGCCGCTTCCTTATGCTATTTTTTACGATATACCAAGCATCACAACCCTGCCCCCTGCCCCAGGAGTGTGTTTCTATCATATCATTTGATCTCCCATCTTGTTCTGAGCCCACTACAGCAGCATGGCCAGGACACCATATCTGATTCCATGTGCTTTTCAAAGTTGCAAAAAAATCAATATTCTTCTTGGTTGATATTTAGTCCTAAGCTTTAATTTTTTGCAACTGCTACAGGGCAAAACTATCTTTGCTGAACAAATACCAACATAAAATGTTATGGGTTCAAGAAGCTTTTGAAGAATTCTATTCCGATTGAAATTTCTAATCTAACACTGGACCAGGGCTTTGACCCCTCTTTATGACTTTGACCTTGAGGTAAAGGCATAAAAGTGGCAAGTGACACCTAAATTCATCAATATAAATCACCCAAATTTGTTTATTAATTGTAATTAAAAATGTTGAGTGGTTCATCAGGAACAACGCAGTAACAAAATGACACGTAACAAAAAGGAAAATGAAAATTTATAACGGAACAATGTCTGTATTATAGTTAAGAAATTAGGGAAAAGTGACTTTATTACAAGTGGGAAATTAGGGAGAAGTGGTTTTACTAAAGGGTGGCTATGGGGTGGTCAGGGAAAACACAATATCTATTGATCATGAGGAAAAGGTAGCTTTGGGAATAAAGGTTTTATTATGAAGTGGAGAGGTTTTTAGGGAATAAGAATGTTGTTAGGGAATGGAGAGGTTGATGAGTAAGGTTTTCACTATTGATTGGGAGTGTTGCCGAATAGAAGTTTTATTACTGAATGGAAAGGTTTTTTAGGGATTATGAGTTTTAATGAGGAAGTGGACAGGTTAGGTAATAGGAGTTTTATTATGTAGTGAAAAGTTTCAGTATCACGAAGGTTTGTATTAGTTTTATACGTAGAGTGGGGTTGTTAGAGATTATGGTTTTTATTACAGAATGGGAAAGTTGAGAAATAGAGATTAAGATGTTACGACCGACATGTGACAACGGAAACACCTAATTATCTGTGGAGTAATAAGGGTCTGTGTTGGTCCTGATCAATATGATAGGGGGATTAGACAGGTCAATGGCCCACTCTTTATCTCCTGGTGTGGCTGCTCAACATCCAGGTAATCACATATTGATACAGGGGCCTTTATGACAGGTATTTACTTACTTCTATACATAGCAGTGGGCCTTAATGACAGGTATTTACTTACTTCTATACATAGCAGTGGAGTTTTACTTCCTGATGTCAATCATTATTCAAATAGGAAAAGTTCACAATATTGGGAATTATGTTTATATAGCATTGAATAATATAAATAATAATAATTTATATATATCGATAAAATACGGTATTACAAAATCATATTCTAAATTTATTTCTTTTCTAATCCATTCGTACTATTTCTTTGAATTTCTGAAAAAGTTATAATTTTCCTGGATTTTTAAAAATCATAAAAAACACTTTTGTACTTAGGACCTAAGTACTACACACAACACAACGCAAAGATGAATATCAAAGAATGGAGCCAGGTTGTTTTTTTAACAGCAAATGATACTTTGAGACTCAAAATTTGTTAAGTCCTTTTCCTTTATATCTAAACTCAATTTTACTGTGAACATGCAAGCCCAGGGAACAGTAGCACACACTTAGCAGTGCCCCTTTGTCTATTTCCTACTGTTAAACATTGTAACTATTTAACGATTCTAAACTTTTCAGAGTCACTCTGCCATAACTTTGGTGAATCTTTTGTGCAGCTATGCGTAAGTTTTAACTCTGGGTGTACAGTTTGCCTGGGAGGCAGCCGGCACGCGACCAGTCGATTGTCTGTTTACTCAGGGTTTGTGTGAAGGGAGCCGTTCACGTGCCGCTAACACCTGCTTATATTAACTGTGTTTACCTGCCCAACATCTGCCCTAACAGTTAATATGGTGACTGCTACATACACCAGCACACCTATGTGTGTGACACACTGGTACAGGTAACTCCAGGCATCCTCACAACTGATGGCAAAAATCAATAACTCTGCTTTGTGTGACTAAGTCACAAAAGAAATTCACCTTTTCTCTCCCTACACACAATAAGGTACAATACATATCCTGCTCAACGATGATGTATGAATATGGTACATAAATAATTGAAATTTCAGCTCTTTTGATGAAGCAACTGAAATCTAAAAACAATTCAGTTCACAAAGAATTGTATTTTTTTTTAAAGTTAAAGTATAAAGTGGAAACCAAAATTTTCCTATTTACCTGTTCATTAAAATTACCTTTACTTCCATCATTAAATGGTTGTCTTTTTAAAAGTATCATTCTAAAAAATAAATTCCCCAAAAAATTGAGTAATGAGAAAAAAAGTTTTAATGAAAATATACAGAATTTAGTTTAAATTCCACACTACAACTGAAACTATTTCTGTATCATGGAATATGTGTTGTATTCAATCTTCCTGAAATTAATTAAATCCTTAAGCCAGTAATGAAAATAGCACTTAAATCTCTATTGAAAAAGGCACATTTCCCGAACAAAGTTACTAGAAAATCAATAATCTAACTTCACAAAGAAATGTTCTTGATCACCTTGTATTCATTCCAAGAAGTCTATCATAATAAATTCATGCACTTGAAAATTATGAAACATGGAAAATTAACCTATTTGTTTTGCTGCAGATTAGTTTGAGGTAGATATAATATCACTTACTTGGTGTCGGAACTGATCCTGTTTTTCTCAATCTGTTTCCCGTTCCAGTCGTGATAATGATTTGTTTAGGATCCACTGTCTGAATTCGATTCTGTCAAAAATCAATAAATATCTCCATATTATTCTCAACTATGAACTTACAAACATAAGAGATGTTTCCAATCCACATCTTTTAGCACAACTAAACTATTGTTGTACATGACATCAACAAGTTTCCTAAGCATCAGCCATATTGGATCAAACTGGCAGAACTTGACTCATGTCATTAGCATAAACTTTCAGGGACTAAGTTGGATAGCTGGGCTTTCGTCGATACTAGTTCTCTGATGGTCACCTGTCGTATCCCCACACCTGGTCACATTACATACCTGTCCACGTGTGTTGATGACTACTTCAGAGGTATGACAAAAGTTCTATAAACAGGCACAACACTTCTAGGCTCATTAATAATTAATCACTTTCATGCACAACTCTGTAGAAATGTCGGGAGACTTGGACGACTTTACTCAACTGTCAAAACACAACACAATCCTGGTAAATCTCCTTCCAAATTCCTCAAAAGTGTCACAAACCAGTACAACATCTGTCCAAAAATGATCTTACCTGGATAATCCCACTTTTCACAGGTAGCTTTTGACAATCAATATGCGGGAACAAAGTGGCAGGTTAGTTTGTGATGGCCTACGAGTATGGCGAGTGAGGCTAACTTCATTAACATGAAGCGTATTGGAGCACTATGCCTGCTTTGTGTATGCTGTGTACCCAGCTCCCGGAGAGCTGCTGTGGCTGCTTGTCTGTTTCAGTACAGCCACACAGGCCTTTGTCCTATGAGTCGAGCACTCTGATTGGCTACCAGAGTTCAGCTATGAATGGTAATGAATCTCTATTATCAACTGCTTGAATTATTGAATACCTTGAACAGATGTTGGACAATAATACCCCGAGGAGTAGCACCAACTTACTTGTCACTTTTCCTATAGTTGACAACCAGTGATCAGCTTTGTTCCCCTGACCATGTACCACCCCTAAACAAACACACAAAGTAGCTAACAACTGTAAGAACACCAAACAACCACACATTCTTATACTGACTTGGTACAGGGAGATCTCACAACTTATGCCCTTTACCCAAGGGCAAATTCATTGTCCATCTGATTATCTATAGAATGTCCAATGGTAGTAGATACTGTAATTCACTGTGGTGCTGATGACCATTCCCAATCAATTTTATTACATCGTCCAGCAGTATAAAGATGGATGGCACTTTTTAACAGTTACAAAGTATTGATCTGGGAGAAGATTAACATATAGACCCTCTGTGGCCCTGCAGATGTGTTTTTCTCTGTTGGGTGCAGTGGAGTGTGACAAACTATGATATAGACTTGAAATTCAGTCGAGTAATTAGTGAAGTTGTTTGACTTCTGCACTCCATAATGGCAGGAATTTAATACTGAACATCAGCACAGGTAGAAATCAATAGTTCTGAACTGTCTAAATCACATACATAATTATTCTCTTTAGGAACATGGTTATAACACTGCTTAGCAGACCTGTTCACAACATTTTCTGAGGGATAGGACCAAGGTTTTAAATACTTGTATGTGCACTTTGCTAAATCTGCAAAACAGTTTATGCAAAAGTTTAAAAGTTTATCAGTTTATGCCTTAATTTTTCATGAACTATATTTTTACGGGAAAAGTCATAAGACAACATTCCATGAGCAATTCCATGGGCTGTTCTACCTCTTCAACAAACACTGTATAAATTTGAATTTAAAAGTGTGTTGTGAACTTTGAAATGAAATTTAAAAAAAAAAATGAAAAATGTGAATTTATATAAGCATTAAGGTGGCTCCACACTTTCGCAATTAACCAGCAAAATTCGTTGAAACTTTCATATAATTGTTATGCAACTATGTCGAGTTGATTTTATGAAAATCTAAACATTCCGATAGTTTGGGGAATTTTTTGGAAAAAATACCAAAAAATTGAATTTTCGTCAACTCTAATATTTTCCGTTTTTGTGTGTGTGTGGCATTGTTCGGAACAATAACAACAATAATAAAATGAAAAGAAGCATTTCTAATTAACCCTACAAATATTTTATTTATCGCAAAATATGTAACACATGTT